GGCATTAATGACATTTGGGACTGGATAAATCTTTGATGATAGCGAGAGGCAGGGACTATTTAGTATTATAAGATATTTATCAACACTCCCGGTTTTTATCCATGAGTAGCAACCATAAATGGCTATGGCCACCATAAATGTCTCCATACATTGCTTAATGTCCCCTGCAAATGGGGACATTCATTACCCAGTCTACTGTCACACTATCCCATTTCCAGCTTTGGTATGGCCATTTAAAATGCCTTTGTTGATGCTCTAGGTTCTTACTGCCTTAAAATTCTACCATGTCTACTATACAAATTCTCAACCCCTAGTTGAGAATCATTGGTATAGAGACACAAAAAGTAAACTATCTTAGATTGGATCTTTGAAGTACAGTAAGAGTAGGGCCAGTGGGTTGGGGGAGAAGGTGGATCTAAAAATCAAGACAAAGAGTAAGAATAGTTTGAGGAATCATATTTAGAGAACATAGATTTAGGGAAAGGAAGGGAAGGGAGTCTTTTTAACAAGTTTTTGAAAATTGGCATTTGGTTAAAAAAATTGAATGGATGAATGATTTCCACCACTCACTGAATATCCATGGGGGAATTTGGTTGAAATGATGGATTTACTTGGAATTTTCCTAGGGGCTCATGGTTACAAGTCTTGATTAGAAACCCAGAGTGACTGATCTGTGGTTTTGAAAACTCATTTTCCACATGAAGGCCTGAGCCATTACCATGGCTTTGGGAATTTTCACATGAACCTTTACTTCCTTGAACACTGAAGACAGAAAAATCAATCATCTAAGATCCTATGGAGAGTATACATATTACACGGTCTGAGTCTTGTGTGTGTACACACACACACACACACACACACACACACACACACTAAAGCACAACTTATGTTTTTACCTCCAAGAATGTTCTTATACAGAATTCTAGGATGCTCTTTGCCTTGTCCTCTTGGATAGTGGTAAGTGTTGAGGGTGTCAAAGGGACTCCTAGATACACAAAACATTTAGGAGTTCAAAGACCTTTAGAGGGTTGAATTATCTGTGTAACCCTGTGTGTGTGTGTGTGTGTGTGTGTGTGTGTTTGAGAGAGAGAGAGAGAAAGTGTTATTGAGAAATGCTTACAGGGAAAGTATGATGACAATAGTTTGAACAGAGATCATCACCATTCCTCATAATGCTTCATCAAGCTATGTTTTATTTTTATTTTTTTTAACTTCTTGAAACCTCATGGGGTTGAAGGAGAGAATGTTATGTCCCAAAGCAGTGAGGGGTGAAACAGCAAAAGTTATTTGGGAACCATACTGATGTATCAATTATGAAAAGATGATGAAGCGAGGTAAGGTAGGAAGACCATTCGCTAGGGAAGACAGATAACACACAAGAAGAATCAACATGAATACACACACAGCTGTGGCAGTCCTTTTCAAATGAAGTTGGTAGAACCCTAATACCTAATACATACAACACATAATAGAGGAGCCAGTGAATGCAACCCATCTGCCATGGTAGCCCCTTAAGCACCTCAGCAAAACACTAAAACTCTGAAATACAGTTTGAAAACCTTTCTAGGAAGTGGCAAATTTTTCTGTAAAGAACTAGATAGTAAATAGTTTCAATTTAATGGACCATGCAGTTTCTGTTCAATTGCAACTGCTCAGTTCAGCCATTGTTCCTGGAAGACAGCCATCAACAAAATGTAACTCATTTTGCTGGTATGGAACCTACAATTCTCCAGAGCTTCAATTGGCTTGCTGTTTTGGTTTGCTGACTCCTGAAACCCCCTACATTCCTTTTAACAAGTGGATACTCTGAAGCTGAGAACAGGGAAGCAAGTTTTGTTAATTGCAGAACTAAGACTAGAATCCAAGTCACCTGAGAGCCACCTTGTTACCTTTTCCTTTCATTGTGCTGTCAAATAGAAATTTTTGTTATGTATGTCTATATGGACCACAGTTAAATACTTTCTTTGTCATGAAGTGGAAGTATTTCTCCCACATAATGCTATTTTGGAAAGAATATGGTGTGTGTGTGTGTGTGTATTATTTTATTTACTTTTTGGTACCGGGGATTGAACTCAGGGACACTTAACCACTGAGCCACATCCCCAGGCCTTTTTTATATTTTATTTAGACAGGGTCTTGCTAAGTTGCTTAGGGCCTCACTAAGTTGTTGAGGATAGCAGCGGAGTTAAACAGTATAGATCTTTGTTGGATATATCTATAAGGTCTTGCATTGGTAAATCTAAGAGTTGTCCTTTTTTGTTTTGTTTTTTTTTTTTGGTTCCACAGATTGAACCCAAGGGTGCCTAACCAGTAAGCCACATCCCCAGCCCTTTTAATTTATTTTTGAGGTAGAATCTTACTAGGATGCTTATAGTCTCACTAAGTTGCTGAGGCTGGTATCAAACCTGTAATTCTCCTGCCTCAGCCTCCTGAGCTGCTGGGATTACAGGCATGCACCATTACACCCAGATAGAATTGTCCTTTTCTATCCTGACATATCTAGGCATTAAGTATTTCTGAGGTGATCATGGAGTTTTTGGGTGAGCTATACTTTTTCTTTTTCTAAAGAGGAGGTGTAAGAATTATGCTGGTAACAATGGTCCTGGTACCTTGTGAAGAATAATCCCAGTGGTAAACTGTAATGGGATTTTTCTTAGCCTGTTCTATGGAATTTGTCTGACCTGCATGACCATCTTCAGGGCACTCAGAGAACTCCCTGGGCCTTAATTGATTTACCCTTCCATGTGGTTGGCTCAGTGACTTCTCTTATTAAGGTTTTTTTTTGTTACAATATTTAGGTTTCCTTTTTCAAGAAAGGAAGAACATGAGAAATCCACATGGCTCTAGATTGCTTGTTTTTCAGTTTTCTTAGCTTACATTGCAGTACTTTGCCATCAAGGCAAGAACTGCATGCTATCTAAGTTTAATTGCCTTTAAGTATAACTGCTGTAAGCCTTCATAATTATGGTTAACATTCTTCACATTAATGTTGCACTGCTCCCTTAGGGTTTTCAGAGTGATTCACAAATAAATGCATTCAACTTTAAATAGCTCGCGAGGATTATAGAACCCCAAAGGTGAAGGATAGAGAATGTTTCCTGCTGTCCAATTATTCAAAGCTTAGCAAATAGGAAGGCAGAGGCATCCATGACCTTAAAATTTTGGTTGCCCTGGTCAATGTTGTTACAAGTAGTCACGTATCCCAAGAAAGAAAAGTTTAAACTTACTGAGAGAAAGAGCATGATGATTTTGTTTATTTTATTTCCTAGGAAAAAATCTAATGGATAAAAAAATATCTAGGCTTAGAATTTGTTTCAACTGGTTTATAAGATTAGATTTAACAAGGCCTAGAATCAAAGGGAATGTCAAGAAAGTCTGGAAAATAAATTAATTTTGTTTTCCAGTTACCTGGGCAAAGCATAGCACAGGTCTGGTAGGAAAATATAAGATAAGTTTCTTTTCACCTGCAGAAAGTTCAGCAATTCTAAATTTGGGGAAGGGACAGGTATAACACAAGGAGCATGTCCTCACCAGTCCACATCAATATTGTCTGAATGGAAATTCTAGGGAGTGGCAGTTTGGAATCATGACCACAAAGGAGTTGTCTGGTCTCTGCAGTGGGGGATTCAGATTGGTCCTTTGCCTTGGCCCCAGCTAAATGGACACGGGTAATGCTGGTTGGGTGGGTAATTTCTTACATTGCAATTATCTACCTAGGTAGCTCAAGGGCTTGGGGGAACTTGTTGAAAAGTCAGAATTAAATTCCTGAATTTAATTCAGGTTATTGATAACATTTTCAACTGAAGTCTTAACAGTGACGGTCTATCTCCCTAACTTTAGCTTCCATGAGAGTGGTGACAGAGATGCCCCACTTGGAAGAATTTCCTCTTTAGAAAGAGTCTACTAGTTGATTTATTAGCATTGAGGGGTATCACAAAGGTATTCTGAGAAGTGTAATCTGTTCTTATGCAAACAAGGTGGCAAAGCTGTTCTTTCCTCTATCTTCTTGGGTGTCGAGTTCTTTTTAAAGAACTGTGAGGCCCTCCTCATTCCTTCATTCCTGTGGAGCCATGATTTGACTTATGAGTTACATGGGTACAAATAATTCACTTTATTATTCCCAGTTTGTTTCTACTTTTACTTTTGTATATGAAATATAGGCTTGCAAAAATGAAGAACTGTGTTTGACTTGGGCATAGTTTGATTGATTGATTTGAATCTTTAGGAATCTTTGAAGGTCCCAGAATAAAAAGTTGAGAGGCTATAGTACAGAGTCATCAATTCAGGCTCATGAGATAGAAATCTCAAATAATCTTGGTCTTTAATAAAGAATGAGTAGTCCTGGTCAATGGGGATACTAAAAACTTGAACCATTGGTTCGTAGCTTCCTTTTGAGAAGCAGAAGAAACTTTCTAGGAAAGTGATGATGATAACTTATATTGAGAACTTATCAGAGACAGACTTCAAAAAGATAATTCTGGCCTCCTTATAGTTGCAGACTTTCTTACCTAGAAATGGAACAGCAGTATACAATGAGATGGGTTTCCTTTTCATACCAAATTAAACCTTTCTTCCCAAAGAGTCCCCCTACTCCCTTTTTAGCACTTCTTTACACTAACAACTAAAATAAGCTATACCTTCCTCAAGAACATTCTGGTTGAGAGTGAAGAAGAAGAGCAGAGGCAAGAACATCCATTAAGTGGGTACCTGAAAAACTTGCCAAGACATGCTGTACTTAAGGGAGTAGACTTAGGGAAGACATAGAGATGGGGAAGGAGAAGGAGATTAAAGAGGGGCTCCTGATTCCATTCCCTTTTTGTATTCTCTGTATGAGAAATATAAATCAGCCTGCTGCACATCACAAAGGACTTTATCATTCGTTTCTTTTTAGAGCTGGATTCTAGGACAGGAAGGGAGCTAAACACTGCAGGGATCTGCATAACTGACTTTGTTGCCTTCTTTACTTCCATCTTGCAAATCTCCCCATCTGGGATTTCCAGCTGAAAAAGAAGCAAGTGTATGTAGATAAAGTGGAGAAGATGCAGCAGGCCCTTGTACAGCTCCAGGCAGCATGTGAGAAACGTGAGCAGCTGGAGCACCGACTCCGGACACGACTGGAAAGGGAACTGGAATCCCTCCGAATTCAGCAGGTATGAAGAATCTAATAAAGATGGGGTGCAGGGGGAGAGGGAAAAGGGAGAAAGGGAGAAGGAAATAGATGATTTGTGGTTATTTTTCAGTTGGCATTTGGCATGAACAAAAAAGCAAATATTTGCTCATCTTTACGTTTTTTGCCCCACATACCTCGCTGAAGGCTACCTCCCCATTATAAATAGAATGCCTGCTTCCTTAGCTTCCTATTCCTATTCCAGCAATCCCCCACCATCTCCAGTAGTAGGGATTGAATCCAGGACCCCATGCATGCTACTTAAGTGCTTTTCCACTGGGCTTCATCCTCAGACCTTCTCATTTTTTTTTTTTTTAATTTTGGGGCAGGGACTTGCTAAATTGTTGAGGTCCTCACTAAGTTGCTGAAGTTGGCCTCAGGCTTGTGATCCTTCTGTCTCAGCCTCCCAAGTCTCTGGGATTGCATGGATGAGCCACCGTGCCTGGCTCCAGCAAAATTCTTAATGCTTCTTATGATCTTGCACCTTTTATTTTTCATAGGAACCAAAACAGTAGGCCCTGTAAGAAGTGAAACTACTATACAAATAGACTCTGAGACATTTTAGAATTAGAAATGGTCTTCAGAAATCACCTGGCCTCAACTTTAGAGGAGAGAAAAATCAATATCCAGAAAAGATTGTATGACTCACAAAAGATCACAGAAGTTAGGGGCAAGTTAGCAACTAAATCCTAGATTTTTGAAATCCCTATTCCTGCCAACTAATTGGCTGGGATGGCAGTTTTCACCCTATTGATCCACTTTTTGAGTATCGTGACATTTATACATGGCAGGCTCTTTTTCTGACCAAAGGAGTCTCACATTCAAGTCCAAATCCCACGGTCTGAAGAGAAGATCTGAATTCCCCTTTCTTCTTTCTGAATCAGAATCCAAACTAGAAACTGAGAATGTAGCTCAGGGTAAGAACACTTCCTTGGCATGCACGAGGCCCTGGGTTCAATCCCCTGTACAACCAAAGGAAAAAGAAATTCAAGCTGAAGTTGCTTGAAGTAGCCTTTCTTCAAGTGGAACTTGGACACTGTGTTTCTTTCTCTTGTTAATCTGAGGGGTCTTGGTATCTCCCTCAACAGCGCCAGGGCAACTCTCAGCCTACCAATGTTTCAGAATACAATGCCACTGCCCTGATGGAGCTCCTTCGGGAAAAGGAGGAGAGAATTCTGGCCCTGGAAGCTGATATGACAAAGTGGGAACAGAAGTATTTGGAGGAGAATGTGATGAGACATTTTGCTCTGGATGCAGCAGCAACCGTGGCTGCTCAGAGGTGAGGAGGTGGTTGAGAGGGCCACTGCTTGAAGTGGGTGATTGCTAAGAACTGACAGATAACTAATTCATACATTTTCCAGTATATGATTTTCTCTGATACTCTAGTCTTTCCTCCAGTTTTCTTCTGAAGTGTGTGATTTTTTTTTTTCATCTGGGGTTATGCAGGGACTGAATGGCTTCGGGGACAGAGGGTCGGGAATTTGAAAATCAAAGTTTTATGGACTTACTAGAATAATAGTAGCACTTGCCTCAGAAGCCAGGAAAATTACAGATGGGATCGGCTAAATATTTGTACACCTCCCTCCCCAGAGCCACTTTCTCTCAGCCACATGTGCACACTGTTTAGCCCTAGGGCTGGAATGAAACCCCCCTTCAGAGAAATGCCACTCAGAAGCTAAATGTCACTCAGTAGTGGCTGCTGCCATTTGATAGCTCTGGTTCGTCCTGGGTATGTTAAAGGCTGTGCTGAACATGAATCCATCCCTGCCCTTTGAGAAGGTCTATATTTGAAGGCCACATTCTCTGTGTGCTTAAGATCATCACATGTGAGCAGTCCCATTCCATCTGGTACCAGGGAGAAAGTGGCGGGAGGATTTTGGTTTCAATTTTTTATTTGTCCTCCTTTATATATTATAAAAACTAAATTATTGGCCTTTGGAGGAAATAGTTGTTCTTATAAACAACTTATAGTTTGTCTTGCTGCTCTTCATTATCATCAGTTGAAAAAGAAGGAAAGAACAACAAAAACTCAGTTCAGGTTCAGTTCAGGTGATGATTTTGGTCATGTTGATAATAGCTCCTGATTTGGAGTTGGGTATCAAAGGTGTGCTATGGCATATTGCTCCTAGATAGATTTCTATCCAGAAAGTTTTTAAAAGCCACAGTGTTCTTAACACTTCAGTATGTGGTAAGCCAATAGAGCCTAGAAAAATGCCCATCAGACTTTGGGCTGCAATATATGTGTGGAATGGGAAAATGGATACATTTATTTTTGAGTACTTCTCATGCCTGATCAGATGGGATAGGACATCAGTGCTTAAGGAATTGTACTGGTGCTTTGTCAAACTCACTCCTTATTCTCTAGGAAAATACCTTACGTCTCTCTAATGTAACCAGCTTGCTTTCAGATAGTCCCTATATAGACCTTTAATAGATAGAAGCTACCAATGGCTTGATTTTAACATTCCCTGGCTTTGTTTCTTGAGAAAGACTTGCTCAGTACATTCCAGGTACCCCAGCTGTGCCAGAAGATGGTCGTAAGGTTTGTAGGCAGATTCAAAGAACAATTAAGTATCATTTTACCTCTAGCTTCCAATGAAACACTGGTGCCCAGCACTTGTTCAGAGGTTATTCATGAAACCATGACACTGAAAACAGTTATTATTGGGAGGTAGGGAAACATAGGGTAATTTTGTCATGGTTGGACAGAATCTTAGAAAGATTCAACTCCTAAGTGTGTGTAGTGTGAGAAAATACTAAAAAGCAGGGTGCTGATTCCAGGTCAAAAAAACAGGAAAGCTGGATAGGGCTTATCACAGGGGGGTGGGATATATATATATATATATATATATATATAAACACTACCCTCCTTTCTCCTTTTAAAGCATTGATTATTAAGGGAACTGCCTTTCAGATGGATGACCAGGATTTGTTGGCTCCCATAAAGGGTAGAATTAATTAAAATTGAATTCCTTTAAATTATCAGGTAGAAAGTTTTCATGTAATCAATGTTTTTGGAAAAATATGTGCTTATCATTTAGCATGAGAAAACACAGCCAGTTCCCATTTAATAGGAACATTTTCTGATAGTTGCACAGGCAAACATTCCAGATTTGAATGGTGCTTTCTTTTTCTTTTCTTTTTTTTTTTGTTTCTTCTTTTCCCAGTGGTGCTGAAGATTGAACCCATGAACCCAGGGCTTTGTGAAAGCAAGTGCCCTACCACTGAGCTGTACCCTCAACCCTTTTTAAAAACTTTTGAGTCAGTCTCACTAAGTTTCTGAGGCTGGCCTCAAACTTAAGGTTCTCCTGCTTCAACTTTCCGAGTCTCTGGACTCGAAAACATGCACCACCACACCAGGCCTTCATGCCATGGGAGAGACTGAAAGATTGAGATTGTATTCAGATTCCTATGAAATGAGAGAATTGAACGAGGTGATTCCTCCAGACCCTTCTATTTCTAGGACTAAACTATATTTCTTTTTTTTAGTTGTAAATGGACACAATGCCATTTTATGTATTTATTTTTATGTGGTGCTTAGGATGGAACCTAGTACCTCACATGTGTGAGGCAAGTGCTTTACCACTGAGCTATAGCCCCAGCCCAAAAACTGTTTTTCTAAAGGTAGTACCTCTTCTGCTTTGCTGTGGAGATTGGTCTCCTTTTCCTCTTTTGTTTTTCATGATAGGAAAGGCAGCAGAATACAACAGACACTAGTATGGCAGTAAGTAAAAAGTAGATGTGTAACCGATGTGAATCTGCAATATGTATTCGGGGTAAAAATGGGAGTTCATAATCTGCTTGAATCAAATGTATGAAATATGATATATCAAGAGCTTTTTAATGTTTTGAACAACTAATAATGAAACAAAAATAAAAAAATAAAGATATTGTAAAGAAAAAATTAACTGAGACTGTAATAAAGATAAACTAATTTTTTTATTACTTTAATTCTAATTTGTTATGTATGACAGCAGAATGCATTATAATTCATATTTTACATATACAGCACAATTTTTCATATCTAAAAAAAAATTTGGGAGGAACATTCAAAAACTTTATTTCTGAACCTGTGGGCTCCTCTGCCTGTCTTGCCAAGATCTCTTCCCATTCCTTTTCCATTCGTTTCCCTTTTCTTCCTCCCAACTTAAATGTAGGTACTCAGCAAGGTTCTGCTTTCTGCCCCTTTCTGTGGTAAAAGCTTATATTTGCTTTCTTTCAAAATAATTTTTAAGTGCCTATGATATTGGTTGCAGATGGAAAGTGCTCCAAATTTGTTTAAGGAGGGAAAGAAAGACAAACAGAAAATAAGAGAAAGGAAGTGAAGGAAATGATTTCTAAATGTATAATTTATATCCATAAATTTAAGTCCTTGTTTTAGTGTACTGCTTAGTTTCTGTTTTTGCTACTAATGTCTCAAACTTAATATATTCCAAACCTAATAACTCATAGGTAAATGAAGAGTTTCACAATTAGGAAATCTTACTTAGATGGTGTCAGTGGTAGTGGTAGAAGATAGAATATTTTTTCAATAGATTATTAGTTACACATTAAAAAAGTCTAATTTAGTTGTACATTTTGGTTCATGTTGGTAATTGAATACAACAGTGTAGCTGCCACCAGGACACATTCTGAAATGACCTTGTGCCCCTTGAATTTGATCCCCTTTTCTCCAGACAATGACTGATCTTCTTTTTGTCATAAATTTGCAATTTTCTTTCCTAGAGTGTCATATAAAAGGAGTTACATTGTGTTTACCCTTTCTTTTTGAATTTTTGTGATCAGCATTAATTATTTTGAGGCCCTTCCAGGTTGATGCATGTATTAATAGTTCATTCTTTTTTATTGTGGAATAGCGTGTCATGGTACCAGAGCTTATTTATTTATTCACTTGATGATGGACATTTGGATTGTTTCCAGTTTGGGGACATTGTGAATAATAAAAGACATTTAAAAAATATATTTATTTTATTTATTTATTTTTATATGGTGCTGGGGATCATCAAACCCAGCACCTTGCCCATGCTACGTGAGCATCTACCACTGAGCCCCAGCCCCAGCCCCAGCCTCAGTCCCAATAAAAGACATTTTAACATAAAGAAAAGACAAATTGATCTTTTCTCAAATGAGAAGACATATATTAGGTAGTCTTTTTATATCCTTCCCAGCACTTTGATTCTGTAGAATACCTTTTGTCACAGGGAAAGCTGTCAACGAAATGATTTCAGACAGGACTAGGGTATGAAAGCTAAGTTTAGCCTTAAAGGGTCCAGGAGAAGGCATTTAACCCATATGGAGAGTGTTGGTATTGCCCTTCATCCTGAGATGTATCTAGATACCAGATTTACCAACTCTGTGATATTGGACAGTCATATGAGTAGGTGAATTGTACTTGATGAAAAGTTAAGATGGCTAGTGAGGGGGGAGAAAAGAGTAAATCAATGATTTTTTGCTTATTTAAAATTAGTATTTGATACTTAAATATTTTTTTTCTTCAAATGAGTAATGGTGATTTATATTATTTATAAAAATGTCTAATGCTTATTATACAAGGTGCTCTTCTGAGCATTTTACTCTTATTTCTTATCCTCAGAATACTTTTAGGGAAAGTGCTATTGTCCATTGTACAAAAGGAGGAAACTGAGGCACAGAGGAAGGGGTTAAATAACTTACCCAAGATCACACACAGCTACTCACAGGTGCAAGAACCAGAATTTAAATTTATATTTTTGTTATCTTACCTGCTGTACTCTACTGCCTCCTAGATATGGGTATAGCTCAAAGATGGTGAAATTGGGATCATTAGCTCTTCAGTAATACAGTTTGAGACTTATTATTTGGTACTAGGGACTGAACTCCAAGGTGCTTTACTACGTAGGTAAATTCCAAGTCCTTTTTATTTTCTTATTTTGAGGCAGGGTCTCACTAAGTTGCTGAGGTTGGTCTTGAAGTTGGAATCCTCCTTCCTCAGCCTCTTGAGTCACTGGCATTACAGGTGTTTGCTCTCATGCCTGGCTTGAGATTTATTATTTACTCCCTTGGAAATATTATAAACAATCAAAATAATGCCTATATCAAGGCTCCTCTCTAGATGCTTAACATAGATAAGGGAAATTATGATCCAGTAAAATTCTCTCTTCATCCCCAGAAGACCTATTTGACTATGCAAATTTTTAAAATGTTTTTTGTAGTTGTAGATGGACAGCATGCCTTTATTTTATTTGCTTAATTTTTATATGCGGTGCTGAAGATCCAATCCAGTGCCTCACATGTGCTAGGCAAGTGCTCTGCCACTGAGCTACAACCCCAGCCCAATTATGCAGATTTTGAGTTTCAGCTCACAAATGGCGAATTTCTTTCCTTTTGTTTTTTGGTACTGGTGATTGAACTCAAGGGCAGTCAACCATTGAGCCACATCCCAGCCCTATTTTGTAGTTTACTTAGAGACAGGGTCTCACTGAGTTGCTTAGCATGTTGCTTTAGCTGAGGCCGAGGCTTTGAACTCTCTATCCTCCTGCCTCAGCCTCCAGAGCCACTGGGATTACAGGCATGTGCCACTGCACTAGGCAGTGAATTTATTTCTAAAGAGCAGCAAAAATGGCAACAAGATAACATACCTGATTGACCATATAATATTTTAGTATGCATTTACTGAATCTGGTCATTACCTTTCTCTAAACTTACAGTGTTTCATTTGAATTTTGGGTAAAGTAAATTCAGGAAAGGAAGAAATAAGGGCAGGAAGAGCAGAGGTAGAAGCTCCTCATACACGTCCCACATGGCGACCTATTCCTTCTTGTCAGCATCTCTCAGATACCATCCTCTGCTTTCTTCTCATTCTACCTTCTATCTTAGTCATCCCTGTTTTTAACTGTGGCTTCTCTCTAATAATAACAGTGGTATTAACTCTGTAAAACTAACCCTGGCATCTCCAGGATTCAAGTTAGAGTCTCAAGACATTTACACTCCAATGTCCCTAAAATTGCAAGCTGTCACAGCACTTTCCAGACATCATCTTCTCAGTTTCCTATGACAGCAAATGGTATGTCATCTTTCCTAGATATTGTAATTAGAAATAAAATTTTCATTCATTCTTCCCTCTCCCTAACACCCACATCCAAATGGTCTCACAGTTCTTCCAATTCTACCTCCTATAGCCCATTTCCATTTCCCTTCCCACTTCACCAGTTCATGTTTTCCTTCTCTCTCAATGGGATTATTGCAATCACCTTCCCAAATTGTCTGTCTGATTCCAGTGTCTCTCTCCTCTAATCCCTCCATCACACTTCAGCAAGAGATAATGTTAGTGTCCTAAAGCTTGGCACACATCAGTTCATTCCCTTAGAAAAGCTGTAATAATTTTCAATGCTTCTTGGAATAAAGTCCAAGTTCATTCCTAGAGCGGTTAATTATTTACTTTGTCTTGCCTTGAAAATTTCCTGAAGTCAGAGCCTAGTCTTTTCCACATTTCTCCCCTCAGCAGCCTCCCAGTAACTTCAAACACTGATCTGCTTATGGTAGAGTCCATGTATTAAGTAAATAAAAGGATCCTGCCCATAGGGCAAGATGGACTTGAAGTTTAAATGATCACTAAGTATTTTAATCATGAGGTCATAGGTGTCATTCTAGAGAGGAATTTGAGTAATGTGATTGGGATTACTTCTTTGAAGAAAGGAAGGAGAGAGAAGATGACTAGGATGGGGTATTCACAAGAACTGTTTACTTAAGAATTTGAGATGGGTTATATAAAGTTCAGGGATATGTGTTTGCAGGTTGTGTTTTGAGAAAGTAGTCAGCATCTCTGTCCTGATGTTTTTAAGGATGTTCTCAGAGTATTGTAAGTAGCTACTTCAAACACTATGCTTGCCTGCTTTTTCCTGGGCCATTGGCTTACTAGTCCTAGTCTTCTAGAAGGAAGATTGATGCTGAGGGCTGTCCTGGCAGCCCTGTAGGAATTCATTTAAGTGCCCCACATTTTCAGTCTCCATTCCTGAGGAGTTCACAGTGTCCATGTCAATTAGCTGGCAGGGCTCTGTGTACCCAAAATGGTCTTTTATGCAATGAAAGTGGCAGTAGGCCAGCACTAGTTCCTGCAGTGACAAACCGTACGTTCAAGTCCCCAGTGTCCGTAGATACCATGCTCTTTTCGAGAGGCCTGGCTCTAAAGCCTCAGCCATCAGTTCACATTGGCACTCTGCAGTGCAGGAATAGCCTCTGGGATTTTACCAAGTGCTGGAAGTTTTTCAAGCCATACTCTCCTGTATGTTATTTTTTTACCTTTGCACTTCTCACTTAATAATAAATAGCTTTGTTGAGTGCCTTTACAGTGAATGATGCTTTATGATTTTACATGCATAGTTTTATTTTATCCCCTGTGACATGAAGATACAATTATGGTTTCCATTTTGCCTATGAGGAGATTGGGACATGGAGCTGGTAACTGACTTTCTGAACTCATTAGGCTTGTCAGTGGTAGGGTACTTGGGGAAGCTGGGACTTGATCCCAGTGTCATCTGTAGTCAGAATCCTGTTCTCAAACACTACCCAACATTGTTTCCTCTATCTATCCAGTAGGGCTACAAGCAGGTGAATCGCACCAGAGGAAGCATAGAATTCTGAGGTGCTAAAATATTTTGAATTTAGCAAATGTTGAGAGAGCCATTGCATTCCTCCTATTTTTTGCTCTCCATTCCAATAAGTGGTTTCAGCCTCATATATAAGATGCAAGCAGTTGCTTTGCAGAGGCTTGCCAAAATTCCCCAACCTTTTTGTCAATTTTCTGCTTGTTCATTCTCTTGCCACTTCACCCCCATCTGCACTGGTCACAATCTGGAAGTTAAGAGAACATAGCTGGCTGCCAGCAGAAAATGTGCCCAGAATTCTCCCAACCGCTGTTCATTGTTGTGGGAAATGTAGCGATGCAGGACTCTCTCTCTCTCCCCCTCTCTTCCTCTCCCCACTCTCTCCCATTCCCTTTTCCCTGTCTCTGGGTCTCTGTCCCTCTCTATTTCCCTCTCAAATGCATCCATTTTTCATCATTAATTGGTTTTGAGTAAATGGCTGAGACACTTTCAGATGGAACATGATGGTCCCTTATGCAGTTGGAATTCTGGCAAGAGAACAGTCACATTGATGGGGTAGAGTCATTGATTTGGTGCTAGCATGTTCCAGATGTAGATTAGATAAGGAACCGGGTGGCAGTGAGTCAAAGGCCCTCTTAGTCCACTCACACATCCTACCTGATCTTAGCTGTTGACGTGCCTATTATTTGTTTCTAGCACTCATTCAGGTGTATTTACTGATATTCATCAGCAAAAATAAGCCACTTAGTAACCCTCCTATTTCCTTTATACTCTAACTCTTCCCTTTTCTTGGCTGTCATGAGACTAAAGTAGAATATGTACAAATTCCTGTTACTTGGTCATGATCTAAAAACTTGAATGGGCTATCTGCTAGGTTTGGGGAGGACATCTTTTCCAGTTCTGGAAGCAAGCATGCGCACATTTCATAGAGTTCCTCACTAACTCTTGCAGCCATGTCCATAATAACAACCTCTTCTTCTACTCTGAAGCTGAAGCTTCCTATTTTGGAGACTCTTAACACAATAACTCACTCAGGGAACCCAACAGTTCCTAATGTGATTGATTTCCAACTCAGGCTTTCTAGGAAAGCCTCCTTCAACTTAGGAGGGAAATAACATCTGTTGATTTTGTTGCCTGCTTGTCTTAATTATTGCCATTTTCCTCCCTAGGGATACAACAGTCATCAACCACTCTCCTAACACTAGCTATGACACAGCTCTAGAAGCTCGTATCCAGAAGGAAGAGGAAGAAATCTTGATGGCCAACAAGCGTTGCCTGGACATGGAGGGCAGGTAAAATATTGATCTGGACCCTAATGCATCTGAGAAGTTGGTGTAGAGACCAGATAGGTCAGTAGGGAATGGTAAGCATCTTTATTCATGGCTGGAGAAGATGATTATGCAGCCTTACCCACCCTGCTATACTGCTGTCTTCCCTGACAGCTTGTTACTTAGAGTTTGAGATGTGATGACCCTGACCATTCCCACTAACTGGCCCCTGGCCTTCCTAATTGGTTGCCATCTGCCTTCTGCCAGAGTTGAATTATTGACATTTTCACTCTGAGCTATTCTTCTAGCACCACAACCCAACCCTGTTACACAGCAGACTACTCAGCAAAAGAATATCCATTCAAACTGTCATGTAGGCCACCTGATGCCTCTTAAATCCTCTATTTTTTGGCTTGAAAAACTTCCAGCACTTCCATTTACTTTTTTTTTTTTTTTTTTGGTACCAAGGATTGAACCCACAGGTGTTTAACCACTGAGCCACATACCCAGCCCTTTTTTGTATTTTATTTTTAGACAGGGTCTCCCTAATTTTATTAGAGCCTCACTAAGTTGTAGTGGCTGGCCTTGAACTCATGATACCCCTGCCTGAGCCTCCCAAGCCACTGGGATTACAGGCATACACCACCACGCCTTGTTTCAGAGTTATTTACTTATTACCTGAGATGGTGGCTCATTCATAGAGGTCTTCAACTTCTCACTGAACACGTTTCCATTGACTCAACTTCTTTGAGACAGCATCAAATACATGGCTTTTCTCATATCCCGCTTTTTTTTTTTTTTTTTTTTTTTTGCCAAGACTCTACTTTGATTATAAGGTGTAAGAGATAGTTCCTGAATATTCTGTTGTATCCAGTTGGATGTGCAGAAGGACTTTTTTAGAAAACCCTATGGCACACCATTCCTTGTCTTCTAACTTAGACTAGGCTATCCCTTAGTCAGAAAGATAATGGGAACTCAAATACACATAGGTAGCAAGATCAGAGCCCAGAGGTAGCAACAAGGTTGTTTTTTTTATTTGTTCCTTTTAGTTCTATATGACAGCAGAATCTGTTTTGATATAATTATAGAAGCATGAAATATATTTTATTCTAGTTAGAGTCCCATTCTTATGGATGCACATGGTAGGTATTCACTGTGTTGTTTTCATATATGTACATGGAAAAACTATGTCATGGAAACCTATGTCAGATTCATTCCAATGTATTTTATACATTCTTTATCTTGGACTTCTAGGATCAAAACCCTCCATGCCCAGATTATTGAGAAGGATGCCATGATCAAGGTACTCCAGCAGCGTTCCCGGAAGGAGCCGAGTAAGACAGAACAGCTGTCATCCATGCGGCCAGCAAAGTCTCTGATGTCTATTTCCAATGCTGGGTCAGGCTTGCTCTCCCACTCATCCACCCTGACTGGTACACCCATCATGGAAGAAAAGCGGGATGATAAGAGCTGGAAGGGGAGCCTAGGTAAAGACAGCAAATAAGGAAGATAATAGTGACACATTTCAAGAGAGTCCTGACTAAGTGACCCACATAGCAAGGAAAAGGGGCCACTATCCACATTCTAGAGGGGAAGATGATGTAGATTGGGGTTTTCTCCTCCCGAGGGGCTAGCTGTATCAGGAGTTCCTCCACACTCTGAATTCTCACAGTGAAAACATTGAGACCAAAGCCTAGCAAACATGAATCCTGAGTTCATCTGGATAGGAAGGAAGATAATTTGGAGTTCATCTTAAAGTTTCTCAGATTTGGCCTTTGCTGCATGGGACCTTTGTCTTTAACCAAAGCCCATGTGGCCTTTGTGTCATTTAAAATTTCAAAAAATTTTAGCATTTCTGTGTTTCTTGGAAGATCCAGACTCCTTATTAAGCTAAATGGAGCTGGGTGACAGGATTTTTGTTAGCAGAATGTTCTGATATGAGAATAGAATGTACTTTTTCATTAGATTCCTGGGCAATAGTAGCAGCATCTGGAGCAGCAGCAACTGCTGATATATATGCAATATATTGTGATCTATAATATATTATAAATAATACATATAATATGTATTATACACAATATAGTAAATATATATTTTATATATATATATACTTTATATATATGCTTAATATATATATTTTATTTGATCTTTCCTTGTTGTTTTTAATATCTTCCTTGGTCCTCTGACCCTTGAAGTGTCCTTTGGCTAGAGTAAACATTTGAGGAACCATAGTCATGGTCTGAACCATAGATCACAGTGTTAGCACTCCCATGTGTGTCTACAGGCTTCTCCCCTCCCTCATCCTTTTCAGCTCTCTGGTAGTGTGTGGTGTTGGTTAAAACTGGAACCAAGTAAAATTTTGATAAATCGGTGGAACTTAATCACCATTGAAAAATAAACCAAAACAGATTCACAGGACACTTAATATAGTGTGCTGAGAGTTGAATAATGAGGACCAGAAAGGATCTTCCAAGGCAGAAGACAAGTTTTCACCAAGGTGGGAGGTGGCTCAATTTGGGACTTTACTGGAGGCAAAAAATAAAGGATTTAGACTCATTCAAATTTCTCCTGAACTCATGCAAGAGAGAATAGCTAATCAAACATCTGGGTTGGAATCACCAATTGTTTCTTATTTGTTTATATTTTTTGTATTGTTTTTCATTTGTAGGCATTCTTCTGGGTGGAGACTACCGTGCCGAGTCTGTCCCATCCACGCCTTCACCTGTGCCCCCCTCCACTCCCCTGCTCTCGGCTCACTCCAAGACAGGCAGCCGAGACTGCAGCACCCAAACTGAACGTGGAACCGAACCGAACAAAACTGCAGCTGTTGCTCCCATCTCTGTTCCTGCTCCAGTTGCTGCTGCCACCGCTGCTGCCGCCATCACTGCCACCGCTGCCACCAACACCGCCACTGCTGCCACCAACACCACCACCATGGTAGCTGCTGCTCCAGTTGCTGTTGCTGCTGCTCCATCTGCTGCTGCTGTTGCTGCTGCCCAGTCTCCAGCAACTGCTGCTGCTATTTCTGCTGCTGTTTCTCCAGCTGCTGCTGCTCAGTTTCCAGCTGCTGTATCTGCTGTTGCTGCTGCTGCTGCTCCTGCTGCTGCTGCTGCTGCTGCTGCTGCTGCTGCTCAGGTTGCTCCAGCTGCTTCGGCTCCGGTTCCAGCTCCAGCTCCGGTTCCAGCTCCAACAGCGGCTCAGGCTTCTGCTCCGGCTCAGGCTCAGGCACCAACTCCAGCTCCGTCTGCGGCTCCTGCTCCAGCTCCAGCTCCAACTCCAGCTTTGGCTCAGGCTGAGGCTCCTGCAAGCCCAGCTACCGGTTCTGGAACACGTCGTTTGTCTATAACAAGTTTGACCTGCAATCCAGACAAGACAGGTAATAATTCTGCATACCACATAGTTTCGAGTTCTGTCCCCAAGTACAGATTTATTTGCTGGTGTCTGCTGTGTAGGTAGAGGTGGCCATTTGGATTGAGCTTTTCATGTTCCAAAGGGAATTTATCAGAAGAGGGAAAAGAAGAATGTTTGAGATGGGAGCAGGCATGAGTAGGTGCTAGTGTTCTAGTAATGTAAATGAGAAACTTGCCAAACAAATTTCCTTGCTATCGCTTCATGAAGGTTCTAATGCTATCTGTTTGTAGAATTTTTTTTTTTTACCTGTCCCTAATGTTCTCTGATCCCTTGTTTCCACACAGATGGCCCTGCTTTCCACTCCAATACTCTGGAAAGAAAAGCTCCCATTCAGATCCTGACCCAGGAGCCTGATACAGAGATGGTGGAATATCTCATCTAAATAGCCCAATCAAGAGCTGCAGTTTCTCAGCAAGAATGAATTAATCATTTTCTTCATTTGTTTGTTCTTATTTTGAGGGTGAATACAAGGGTTGGGGGGAGGGGATGTTTTTTAAAGGGACTTTTTATTGGAACAAAGTAGTACTTTAGTCATACCATATGAACTCCAGTCTATTCTTGATTCTCTAGGAAGTACTTCTAAAAGATAAATTGATCAGAATGTGCTCTAAAGTTTATTGTTTGGAGTTATAGAAATATTGGGACTGTTAACAGGTAGATACACATCCATGTTTTCAATGTGCTTAAAGTTGCTTAAAATGTCCCTATTTGAGATCAGTTTTTATTGATGAGCACAGTATGTGTAGAAGACAGTGTGGAACATGTAGTTTGTAAGTGGGAAGCCAGAGAGAACTTGAGTGTGTGCTGTCTTCTCTAAACAGCAGCCACAGAAAACTCTCGATTCAGGCTCATGAAATGGAATAATTTTAGTAGCTGTGTAAGCTGGAGAAAAGGTAGGGAGTATTGGGGTATGAAAGGGTGCTAGAGCTAATTCTGTCTCCGAGTTGCCCAGCTACCCTGCCCCAGCAGATTGTATTGATCTTCATTTCAGTGGTGCTTTGGAAGTGGATTTTTTTGGTTCCCTCCTGGAGGTTCATGCATTCATATATGTACTCTGGAGTTATTTATGCATTTGGATAATTAATATATTGCTTTCAGATGCTAGGAGAGTAAATTAACTGAGTGATGCACAACTTCCTGTCTTGTAGGGAGTTATATCAGGTGCCTTGATGGAGAGTTTCATGAGATTTTGCACATAGACTTCTGTGGTCTGGGTGTAGCCATGAACAGTGCTTACTGACCTTTCATACAATCAATTGGCTTAGTGTTTATTTCTTCTACAGCACAGATTCACTGGTTGGGTCACCAGTCTCCAAATTGCCAGTCATGGGCAAAGTTAGGAGCATTTTTGTTGACAGGTTGAATGCTTTGAATTTCTGGTGACTACTTTAGAATAGTTCATTTTGTTTTCCTAAATTGTTAGCATATGTCTGCATAGGCATATGTGACTGTCACCTCCAAGGGAATAGCATCAGAAGTCCAAAGTACCATGCTGCAGTCAGGGGAGAGGTTGATTGCAGCAGTCTCTTCAACTACCTCTTCTCAGTGCCAGTGACTCCATCTTGGAATCCCTTTGGGAAGCAGTGGGAAATGTGCATGTGGGCAGGAACCAAAGGAGGCCTTGCCATATTGCTGCCTCCAGGGACACAGAGGGATGCCAATTTCCACAGGTCCCTGCCCTGTGTCACCTTTCTGCCTTTCATTAAGGTGACAGATCTGCAGATAGTGTCATTAAGATCAGTTTTCAAGGGTATAGGGAGGGTGAGGGGGTGTGGGAGGGTGCTAGGTAAGGGTAGGGGTGGGTAGATGTTTGGGGATGTATTACTTAAAATCCAGACTAATAGAAGGGTAGCCTGATGTATTATGTCATGAGCCACAGTGGTGGGAAGGAACTGTAGCAATGTAGCTCTACCCCCTGATTTTAGTGGTGAGGAATATGAGACTTGGAGAGGTTCAGTGACTCTTTCAGGATCAGATAGCACATCTGTCCATTCTCCCAATTGCCATGCTTATTTTGGGAACTCCTATTCAAAAAAGAAGAACCTATTTTAAGAAAAGGCATCTTCATGGTCCAGGATATATGTATTTTTAAAGCATCCCTGGTTTGAGTAGTTTGTCCAGGGTTCTGAATTTTTCTTTTGCCTCTCCTGCAGTGCCTTCTATAAGATTTTCCCTTTCCTGATCCCCATTTCAATATTGAGTTGTGTGAAATGTCTCCTTAAGAAATCAACTCCACTTTTTTTTCTCTCTATGACATTGGGTATCTTGGGTGATCTTACAGGGTTCCTCTGTGAGTATAGGAATGGTGTATTTACCAGTATTCTTTCGTAGTTCATAATTATCTTCCAAAGGAATTACTGTGTGTGTGTGTGAGATAGGGATGGACAAGAGGGAAGGTATTTTGATTTTCAGCCAGTCTTTTCACATTTTCAGTAACAAAGTAATCATCCTACACATTAGTCCTCAATTATAAAGTGAATGACAAATAGAAATTGAAAGAGCAGTTGTGCCCATTCTCATTCATACTACCCATTTAAGAAAAGAGCCCCAAACCTCAAATAGTAGAAGCAACAGATAACAAACTTCAGGAGAGCTACTTTATATCCAAGCAAATAAATTTAAAAAATAATAAATCTTTCATGGTTATAACACATTGCTTGAATTTTGGGGGCTCTGGGAGCCATGATTATAGTCACATTCTGTAAGGCGACAGATGTCATATCACACTGTGTGGCAGCTATCTCTTTAGATTTGTGTGTTTGGGGGAAAGGAGGAAGTTCTTGCCTAAGTACTATTTTGAACTTTCCAGAACTTTTCTGCCCTTTCACAATAGAGGCAGTCCCTCTTTGCTCAGTTTTCAGCCCTAGGTAATTTGCTAAAATAACATTTTACATCTAAGAGATGAAATAAGACCATGTTGATGTATCCTGTTTATGCAAAAGATAGACCCTACCCTTTCAGAATGTCTTTACTGAAAGTGTCATTTCAAAAATTCAGGTTTATGGGAGAGATCTCAAGTTAGCCATCTTTTCACCATTGTGTGGATATAACATTTGAAGGATCTTTCTGGAATCCACCGATCTATGTATTTTACTGGCACCTCATAGAACAAGAGGGTGACCTTGTTGTCTTAACTTGTACTGCCTGGTGGTCTATGGGGACCTTTGATTTCAATTGTACATCAATGTCCCATGTCCAGGAAAACTTCATTAGAACAAGTTTTACTTGATCTAAAATTCCTATTAACAATGTTCTGGAATGAAAAGTAGCTTGAACTTTCTTTTAAATTCATGTATCTTGATTATTGTCTTAATGAAGGATTTAATCCCAGTGCTGCTTTTGAGCTTCAGGGTGACAGGAGAGCAGGAACATGAAATATCTGGCATAGGAAATATACCAAGAGACCCATCCTGATTTCCTTTTGTTGTTACACTGTTGGATGGGTATAACAATTAGGAAATGAACAAATTGATTGTGCAAACTACTTTTTCTGAAGAGCCTAAATCATTCGACTGCTTGAAGTATATTATGCATATATACTAACTTGGATAAATTTAATTCTCACATCCATAAGCCATACAATCTCCTGTTATCTCAAATGCTCATTCATATATGGAATGTTACTTAAGATGTGTGCCTTCTTACTGAAAGTGTTTTCAAGGGAAGGCATCAGCTGTGGGCTAATTGCCAACAATTTCAGTCCTCCATGATCCTTGGAATATATCTTCCAAGTGCCATCTATCATCAGTAGGACAAGTGTCGGGAGTTTGTTTATTTTCTTCCAGTAGCAACGATGGGTTACATGGAGCTCTCAAACCTCCTTCTGGCCTCCCTTGTGATTAATGGCATGTGTTTGTAAAATGGATAGCTGGGGTTGGCAGATGGCTAGAGAAGAATCGCTTTTGATTTTAAATGTATGTGATCCCATAATGATTGTAATCCCATTCTGTAATCAATGGAGCTAGTTCCAATAAAGTGAAGCAGGTTTAAATCCACTTTGTGCCTATCTTTTCACTGACAATAAAGTTAGCTGTTTTAACATGCAGTACCGTGTGGAAAATGCTTTGGTGTTTACCGACAGAAAATTTCTTTGTGCTATATTAAGTGATTAATTTCAATTCAGTTTGCAGAGAAATTGTCTTTCAAGGACAGCATGCAGTAGAATTTGTACTTTCTTGAAGGATGGGATATGATTATAGATTATAAAGTATTAAGACAACACCACAGGCCACATGCTTTAATTGGTCTCTTTATATAATCAGGCAGTATATATTAAAAGCTTTGCATCTTTTCATCTCCTAGTTCCAAAGGATAAAATGATAGCCACCCAATGTAGAGAATCAATTTTTGGTTAGCATTTTGGAAGGCCCCTTGATAGCCCTTTTTTACCCTTGTTCTTATGCCAATTCATCAGTTTTGGTTGAGGGAACTTGTTATTAAAAGCGCATCAAAACCACAAACAAGTTGGCTCTTTACTGAAAATGTTGAAGCTGCCTTTACACTGCCCTTTCTGGGCCTCCTGTTTGCCAGTGAGTTCCAAACCTGACTGGTGAGGAAAAGATCTCAAAAGACAAGGTTGGGGTTATACCTCAGTGGTAGAGCACTTGCCTAGCATGTGCAAGGCCATAGGTTCAATACCCTATATGGGGAAAAAAAAAAACCTCTAAGGACTTTGAAATGGTATGTTTTCATAGTGAAGTTGGTCTGATGGTGATGGAGCAGGTCTAGAGAATTCATTCAACTATAAATTTGATTTCTTCTAAGTTGGGCTTCATCCCCTCCATACTTATGGTGAGGTATTTGGAAACTCTATGGATGAAAGCCCACCCCTCTTTTTTCAGGACATAGAAAATGGTATTAAGTGAACCACACCTTACAAAACTTTGCAAGGCATTTCTTCCAGAACCATCTTGTGTCCAGTCATTAACAAGTAGTCACTTGTGAAAAGAAAAAATAAGTGTTTCTTCAAAATTGCAACATCACACTGTAGGAGCATTTCTAAATATTTTTCAGTAGGAAAATTTGATCTGGTACATGCCTGCTATTATACCTTCCTTTCTGCAGGCTTTCTTTTTTTTTTTTTTTTTTAAGAGAGAGTAAGGAGAGAGAGACAGAGAATTTTAATATTTTATTTTTTAGTTTTTGGCAGACACAACATCTTTGTTTGTATGTGGTGCTGAGGATCGAACCCGGGCCGCACGCATGCCAGGCGAGCGCGCTACCGCTTGAGTCACATCCCCAGCCCTCTGCAGGCTTTCTTATTGAGATAAAATGATGTTCATAGCCTCTATGAGATGCACTATTGCAGAAAATTACTTCCTGCTTTCCACCTCCTCCACCTCCATCTTACCCTACAAGAAGCTATTTATTGGAGGAAAAGAATGTAAATGGTTTGGTCTTAGAATACTTTCTACATCAACTGGTATTTGAATGAAGAGTTTTCACTGACAGGACTTCCTTTCCAAGAAGAAAAATATCATGCACAATACCAGAATGTCAAACCATCTCACAAAGTACTCATTCCTTCGGTGAACCAACTGAATGAAGCCCAGCATATCGATTTTGCTCCCCATGTTTTGTCATTTACTAGTCACTCCTACCATTGGATTAGAGCATGTGCAAGAATTGCTGAATAACTACTTACTAGATGTTGCCATTGTAGAAAATAATCCCTAGAATACAAAACTTTAAAAATACAGCCCTTAATTCTGGTTTATTAAAGAAAACACGCATGCATGCATGCATGCACACACATGTGCGCACACACACAGAGTTCATTACAATCTGTCAAATGGCAAAAGTTTGAACAAGATACAGAATCAGTGCACATGAGAGAAAAATGGATGATTTTTGTGATCACATGGGGGAATGAAGAGAAACAAACCTGAACTTTAAAGGATGTGTAGATGTTAATCTAATGAACTAGGGACCAGAGATGAAGATTACATGTAGGAGGGACAGCATGTGCAATGGCAATCTTACTTTGTCAGTTCTAAGATGAAACACCCTAGGGTCTTTATTTTAACAACCTCCTCATAAACACTTATAAATTCAGATTATGGAATGTATTAGTGTAGAAATCAACAGAGCATGGAGTTCTAGTCCTGTATCAGTCACTTAACAGACATTTACCTGTGGACAAGTTCCCTAACAGAATCAGAGAGGTTTATCAGTACAATGGGTATAAATACGTATTTCTGTGGACCTCAGGGAGAGGGGGGCAGGAGACTCTCACTTTTTGAGACAGTATATAATATATATAAAAATTGCAGTCAAAACAATGGGCTGAATCCATAAAGAAGATGTGGTTTGATGTTTTGTTAAGAAAAATACAAACATAAAAAAGCAGAATAGCTAGGGCACCTCCATAAACCTGTTACTGGGCTTCAACAATTACCAATCTTGCTTCGTATATTTCCCCTACCCCCTCACCTTATATGATTTTGAAGCACATCCCAGACATCAAGGCATGTTTTTTAATATTTATTTTTTAGTTGTAGTTGGGCACAATACATTTATTTTATTTATTTATTTTTATGTGGTTCTGAGGATCGAACCCAGGGCCTCACACATGCTAGGCAAGTGTTCTACTGCTGAGCCACAACCCCAGCCCCCATCAAAACATTTTATCCATAAATATTTTAGTATGTATAAAGAAGAAATTTTTCCCATATTTTAGTGGTGCATTATAGTAATTCATAAGTGGGATTCTTTGTAAGGTGACATTTTTAATGAAAAAAAAATGTTAAGAACTACACCTGGCATCAAAAATAACAACTCACTAAACAAACAAAACTGACAGCATGTTTATGTTTGCCACTTAGAAAGCTTCGTTTGATTCCTCAACTTAAGGCCTTAAACCAAAACCAGTGGTCTCAAAAACAAGGATTCATTCTCCCTTAATCCATATATCAAAAAGGCAGTATATTTTCTTTAAAGGCTCCCCAATGTAATTTCTAAGTCATTATTCTTCCTCCACTCATATAAAAAGCTCTGGCTCCTTTAATGTTCCTGTCATCCAGCTGTTCCTTGTTTACACTCATCTGCTGATTTGGTCACTGTCCCAAGTGCACTGATGATTTTGGCCTATGGATCACAGTTATATCTCCACCCCCAAACGACCCAGCCAGCATGCTGGCCTTTCTGCCAGTTCCTTGGCCTCTCCATCTCCTCTGACCTCCACGTCCACTGCACTTCAGTCCTCTGTGTTCGTAGCAAACCCAGAGCTGGTCATCACTCAGCGCTGCTCCACTGTGCACATCATGTCCTCCAGTGCCCTGCTCTCTGGCCAGTGTCCCATCCTCCCAGTTCTTCTACTCTGACTCCATCTGTCCATTAAGTCCCTTGATACCTCTGTTTCTCTTCAGGCTTTCAGCCCTTACCTACCTGATGTGGGCCTCATGCTTAATCACCCAAACCTTCAATTCATTTATACCCCCTAAAGCCTCAACTATTCATTACAAGTCAGAAACTCTCCCTCATAGCTTATATCTAATCTATTACTGATTCTATCAAAATAAATCTCAAAACCAATCCATTTACTTTTTTGCTACTCTACTGCCAACAACCTGTTCAAAGCCACCAGTCTGGACTATTTCAGTAGCGTAACCATTGATCTGCTATACCCACTCTTTTATTCTAGTGTCTATTCAGCAAAAAAAAAAATGTATTTCATATAATTCCCCTGCTTTTTCCCATTGCAATGTAAATAAAATGGGACTACAAAAGGCAAAACAACTGAGCCAAGGTTTTATAGCTGATAGATTTGGAACTAGGACACTGGTATCTTGGACTCTGTTCCATTAGTATCATTTTTTTGTACTGGGGATTGAACCTAGGTGTGCTTTACCATCCAGCCACATTCCCAGCTCTTTTTCTTTTTGGAGACAGGGTCTTGCTAAGTCTTTGAATTTGCAACCTTCCTGCCTCAGCCTCCCAAGCCCCTGGGATTACAGATGTGCACCACTGCACCCAGCCATTAGAACTGTTCTTATGCTTTGTTCTAAGTTATCTTCTTTTTTTCATGCTTGAAGGACACAATTAACATGGCATCATGATTTTTTTTTCCTGAAAATATCCTAGAGAAGTGTTTTTAAAATTTTATTTATTTAAAGCATACACAGTAGTAAACACCTGTTATCCCAGCAACTTGGGAGGTTGAGGCAGGAGGACCCCAAGTTCAAGAGCAGCCTCAGCAACTTGGCAATACTCTATCACAAAATAAATTTTTATAAAATGGCTAGGGATGTATCTCAGTGCTAAAGTGCCCTTGGATTAAATCCCAAGTACCACAATTTTTTTTTTTTTATTTTTTTAATAAAATTCAAATGTTTTAAAACTGGTACACAAAAATATAAAAACCAACATATTACTTATACAGATTAATGGGGTACATATGAATGTGATTTTTTGATACAGGATAAACATATCTATCTCCTCTATCATCAATTATATTTCACAATGAAAACATTCTATATTTTTTCTACCAGATTTTTGAGTTATACAGTACATTGTTGTTTTCTGTAGTCACCCTCTTGTGCAATAATACACTAGAGCTTCTTACTCCTAACTGTAACTTGGTACCCATTGATCAAACTTTCCCTATCCCTCCATCTCTGCTACTCTCCATAGCCTCTGAAAGCTACCATTCTACTCTCAACTTCTGTGATATCATTTTATGATCCCACATGAGTGAGATCAAGAGCAGCATTTTGAAGTCCTCTCTAAGCATCTGTCTCAAAATCACCTCAGGTGTTTATTCAATGCACAGTCCCTGTCCTTGTCCCTAAAGATGCTTATCCTGTAGTTCTAGAGTAAAATCAGGCCCGTTAATTTGCATTTTAGCTCCTCCTGAGACTACATAGTTGGAGAAACACTTGTCAAAGATTTCCTGACATTTGTCTTACTTCGCTTCCCTTCAATAGTTCCCCTGTAACATAATAGACTCCCAGTTGCATATGGTTAAATGAATAAATCCACTGTGAGTATTAACGTACCTTACTTCAGTGGTCAGCCATTTTATTTTCTTTCACTTTTAGTACCTAT